GCCTCCCAAAGTGCTGGGATTACAGGCTTGAGCCACCGCGCCCGGCCGAGTATTATAATCTTATAGGACCATCATCCCATAAACAGTCCATCACTGACAAATGTTGTTATGCGACACATTTTATGTAGTGTGTGACCATACATGATACGCAAAAGAAATTCAAGCTTCTAGGAAGCCTTCTAAGGCCACATCTCCCTAAGGGCACCTGGTGAGCCATTCCTCACCCCTGCACCACACCAGGCCTCCAACACCACCACCAAGGCTAACCGCTGTGCACTCTGGGCCCCGGGTCTGCAGTACCTGGCTCCCAAGCACACCAGCATCTGAAACTTGCCGTCCTTGCCGATGTTCCGGGGAGTATTGTTGATTGCAGTGACAAATCGGCAGAAGTTCCGGGCTCTTGTATGCCAGTTTTCCTCAGAGACTACTTCATTCTGCTCTAATGTCTCATAATAGGTTTGTGCTTTTTCTGTGAAGAGTAGAAAAGCTTGCCAGTGAAAGGCTCTCAACACCAACCTGATGGTCCTGCAGGCCACTTGCCATGGGCCTCTCCAAGTCCACGCAGGTAACTTAATGAGAATAGTACAAGTGTTCTGATGTCACTGGTCATGTTTCAAAATGATCCTTAGCTTCCCTATCCTTATTTTTAAATTTTGTTATGTGGCCCTTGATCTAAAGATGTTCTTTCCCCTACTCTGAAGACACAAAAAATTCTGAGGATGGTTTCTTGCATGAAAATTCTCCATATTGGTGCAACATAGGGCTTGGGGCTCCAATACACTCAGCTGGACTTTGGGATCTATAAGGAGAAAGTGTGAGGACTCAGAACTAAGTCCATACTAAATAACAGATCTCTAGAAGAATCTTTTCTGTCCAATTCTCAAGAGGTAAGCATTTACCAAGGGGGGAGGAGAGCTCTTGTCATTCCCTTTAAGAAAAACCAGAGCAAACAAATGAGATCTTAGAGTCACCTAATTTGGGTTCTGCCTCTCAGAGTGGTCAGCACCCATGCTATGTTGGTGAGTCCCCCTATATCTCTACATGCTTTTCCCACCCTCATACTTCAGCTCAACTCACCCAGGAAATCCCAA